CTAACATGTAACATAGTTTACATCTTTCAATCACTGGCTGTACACAGGTTACATCTAACCGAGTTTACATCTTTCAGTCACTGGCTGTACACAGGTCACATCTAACTTAGTTTACATCTTTCAGTCACTGGCTGTACACAGGTCACATCTAACCGAGTTTACATCTTTCAGTCACTAGCTATACACATGTCAGATGTAACATAGTTTACATCTTTCAATCACTGGCTGTAGAAAGGTCACATCTAACCGAGTTTACATCTTTCAGTCACTGGCTGTACACATGTCACATCTAACCGAGTTTACATCTTTCAGTCACTGGCTGTACACATGTCACATCTAACTTAGTTTACATCTTTCAGTCACTGGCTGTACACAGGTCACATCTAACCGAGTTTACATCTTTCAGTCACTGGCTGTACACAGGTCACATCTAACATAGTTTACATCTTTCAATCACTGGCTGTAGAAAGGTAACATCTAACCGAGTTTACATCTTTCAGTCACTGGCTGTACACATGTCACATCTAACCGAGTTTACATCTTTCAGTCACTGGCTGTACACAGGTCACATCTAACCGAGTTTACATCTTTCAGTCACTGGCTGTACACAGGTCACATCTAACCGAGTTTACATCTTTCAGTCACTGGCTGTACACAGGTCACATCTAACCGAGTTTACATCTTTCAGTCACTGGCTGTACACATGTCACATCTAACCGAGTTTACATCTTTCAGTCACTGGCTGTATACAGGTCACATCTAACATAGTTTACATCTTTCAGTCACTGGCTGTACACAGGTCACATCTAACCGAGTTTACATCTTTCAGTCACTGGCTGTACACAGGTCACATCTAATATAGTTTACATCTTTCAGTCACTGGCTGTACACAGGTCACATCTAACCGAGTTTACATCTTTCAGTCACTGGCTGTACACAGGTCACATCTAACCGAGTTTACATCTTTCAGTCACTGGCTGTAAACGGCTCACATGTAACATAGTTTACATCTTTCAGTCACTGGCTGTACACGGTTCACATCTTGCACTTATTCTTAACGCTTTTCTTCTGTAGCTGAGAATCATGAAATTAATTAGCTTAAGAGCTCCCCTAGAATGCATTGCTGCAAGGGCAGTAACCTTATAAGGTCTTCATTGACCATTCTCATCTTCAGATTATTCAGTGTCCGTAACACCTCATGAATTCATCAAAGTTGACATTTTTTAAAATTCCTTTGTCGTAATTAATTAATTTAATTTTTAAATAGTCAATACTTGCTAAAGGGCGATAAGCCTTATGTAGAGAATGAGGTCGTCGACTGAAAATTTGAAACTAACAATTAGATAATAATTCTACAACCTTTATTCATAAGCACTTGTCTGTCTCAGTTGTTAATTTGTAGGCCTTCCATTAATTTCAAATTCAAGTCGAGCAACCTTTTTTTTATAAAATGCTTTTGAAAGGCCAGCACGCCAACCTTCTACCATGGTAAAGGTTTCCAGGAGAACAGTTTGCACTGAAAAGAACATAAAACTCAGAAGATACTAAACTATATCTACACCTGCTGTTCCTTTCGATACATGAAACCTGCACGGACAAGGGAGAACAGATGTATTATAGTCGCTTAGCGGCTGAAGAAGGCCATAGTATAACATAGTATTCAAAGCAAGCTAGTTTCTTTCTTTTTTTGTAAACAAATTATAATATAATCTTTGAAGCCAGAATTGACGGTTTGCATGTCTAGAGGTTACAAAATTTTATTAAACAACTAAACATCCACGTTGAATTGCTTTAACCGGCAATGCGATGTTTAGCCTCTACCTTTCAGTGACATCTCCCCGAGACTTGGCAACAGTGCTAGATGAACATTTGAAAGTTTTCTAGCGACTTACATGTTCCATATTTTGGACTTTATTTTACTGAAAAGTGTCTCAGTGAAGGTCTATTCAGTTTATTTGTAACTTGTTATAGTTGTTTTTAAACCAATAATCTGATTTAATACAAATTATATAAAAAAAAAGATTGTACTGATAGAACTAAATAAAGAAATAGCATACATTTCTTGAGTAGATCTAGTTTAGGTCTTAGTTATTCACCTTGACACAACACGTGTGTCAATATCTAAGCTGTGCTCATAGTTGAATGAATAAAATAGTTCAATAGAAAGTCTTCTTTGTTTTTTACTTTAGTGTTTCGTATGTTCCTCCAGCATCAAAAGCAAAGATTTTTTTTACATCTTAGCCACAGCCTACTGCAGAACAGTAGGGGATGGGGAAGGACTGGTTTCGAACCAGGGCCCATCGAGATGACAGTTAAGAACGCATACCACAAAACCATGTAGCCATCAATCAACAATAACTTTAACCAGCTAAATAATTGCTTGAAATTAAATAGCTAAAAAATCAATAGTAAATACCAAGTCATAAAAAAAAAAAAACAACTACTAAACATTCACATAAAATTCAAAACATCCACAGAAACACAAATTCAACAAAAAAAATCCACAAAAAAAAACAAAAAACCCATATACATAATTGAAAAAAACCAACAAAACAAACAAAAAAAAAACCTAAAAAGAACAAAACGACACAAACTACGCCAAAGAAATATGGGAATACAAGAAGAAACTCAATGGACCACTGTGTAAATGTTACAAGTTTATTCCATGACACAACATCCTTTGCAATTTTACCAACATTTGGCCTAAACATTGTATATATATATATATATAATAAAGTTCCAACATCTGTCTAAACAACGTTGTCAGTTTTACTGCTAAAATTAGTAGAGTTTTGGAGAAAAATTTGTTTCTGCCAATGAGAATTGAGTTGAAAGGTCAGGCAAGGTTATATAAAGAGTAAAAAAACATTTCTTTTTTTTTTACATTACTGTGTACAATACTCCACAAGATGTATATTTATATGCTAATTAATGTCAAAAATTATAATGTATAACTTATACTGATAAATTAAGAAAAAAACCAACTAATGCTGGACAATAAATATTGTTCATAATGCTTTATAGTTTGCCTCATATTTTTCTTCATATAAGCTTTTTTCCTTTTCCTTTTCTATTTCGAATCTTGAGGGATATTCATTAAAATGAACAAGAGGGAGAATAAACCAATGATATAAACTCATAAATAAAGTTCACTTCCATATACATTTTGTTTTTACCTTAAGATCATTGTTCTTATATAACAAATGTCTCAATCCAATCTAAATCTATAGCAAACTGATTTGAATATTTCACCACAGAAAAAATAGACATCTTGCGAGTCCTGCATTATATGTTTTCGAATCCTAACTAATGAAAAAGTAAGATTACTCAAATTTTAAAAGGCAGGAAAACACATTCTGAAAAAAAAGTAGGTTAGTAGGTCAAGTAGACATAGATGTCAATTGTAATGATTCTATTGTTGTGATTAAAAAAACAAAATTATTACTTTTCATTATGTGGTAAAGATGAATAGGTGAAAGCTAAAATTTATTCTTTCTGTCCAGACATACAATTTCATTAGTTGTAAGAAAAGAATCTACAACAAAATTTGATGAATTCATCCATGAGCTATGAGGAGAGAAAGTTGAAAGAAATTCAATTTGGGAAGTTCATATGAAGAGCTATACAAGAAATTTAAAAGTTTGTAGTTAGAGACAAAACAAAACACAGATTTTAAAATTGTGAAATAAACCAGACACGAACACTATCCCACTCAATCATTCCAACAGTTTTGATCCTATAAGATCAAGATTGAAAAGAAGAACTGTACATGCTATTAACAACTCACACTTCTAAACAAAACACTTCCAAAATAGACACTATAATAGAAGACTTTGTAATGTACACTCTAGCTAATGGACTCACTCTTCAACAAAATCTTTTTAGTGTTTTTTTTAAGCAGTTTTAAATTCAGAAATGAAGTGATGTGTTTCTACATTCTTAAACTAAAATCTATTTAAGACAGAAGTAAAAACAAGTCATTGCCATTTTAATTCTAATTTCAATATTCATATGCACCAACACCGAATATATAAATACTCTTTGATGCATTCCTGAATTTGAATAGTGATAAGTGCAAGTCCTGCAATATATCATTGCTTTAGCTATGACACACAAATGTAACCATAACTTGGCTAATGTAAAAAAAAAATAATGAACAGTTAAAAAACAAACTGTTGTGTTCTTCAACAAGCTAAAAGTTCCACCAAGAATAAAAGTCAAAAGTTTACAAACATTGTGTTTTTAATGAATGAGGGACATAACCAACTTGTTATTTTGTAATGACTATAATTTTTTTGTTTAGAGTTACTAGTCCCTGTTTGTCAGTCAACCATTTTATCAGGGGCAACAGAGAAACAAGGGATCTACAAAGACAGGGTAGGCAACAATAGTGGACACACTACATTGGACTATGTACACAAAGAGGGGGAGGGGAGAAATACATAATGAGTAAACTTGTAAGTATCATACATGCAGAGAATAAATCTGCCGTTGGTTAATTAACCATTCAGAGGACAAAAAAAGTTGATTAAATTTCAAAAGTCATAAAGGAAAAAAATAGAAAGAAATGAAACAAATGAATGGCACCACTAAATGATGAAACATTTTTTTTTAATCCTAACACTGGTACATTTTGGTACTACTTGTAGGCTCAAAAGTAAATTTGATTATCATAATGCTTAAGATAATAAAAAAAATGTATTCTCTTTGTTCTTTTCTTGTTAAATCAATGGAAGAGGAGGGACTCACTGGGAGAGTGTTAGGCTATAAATATTTATTGCTTCATTGATGACAAGAGATCAGTATGTTAATGAGACACTTCAAGTATATTGAATCATGGGAAATCTATAAAAAATGTTTTTATTTTTTTTATTTATGTTACAGGTTGTGTTGTAAAACAGTTAAAACAGAGCAACGTTATGTAAATGATGTCAAGGACAGACAAGAAAAAAAAAAAAGAGGGGGGAGGAAGTAAACATTTTTGTTTCTCTTACTCTAGAAAAAAAAAAAAAAAAGAAAAAACAAAAAAGAAAAGAGAAACACCTTTTTATTATTTCATGAAGATTTTTTTTGTTTGTTTCTTTTAAAGATTTGAGAAGATGCATTTTTCAAAACTTCTTTGTGAATATCAATGTAAACATCTTGAAGTCTCCTGCATTGATTTCATCTCCAATGTATAGACTCTTTGACTCTACTATTGCTTTCATCTCAATCTCAATGAACACTTTTTACTTCTATGTCCTTAAGACTTAATTGTATTAGGATAAAAACATAAATTGAAAGAAACAATTGATTACAAGTGTACAATGAGTGTCCCCAATGAAACAAATGATATGAAAAAAAAAGAGTAAAATACCACAGGCCAATAAAAAACTTCAGTCAAAGAAAAATAAACTTTAAAACTTGTTGTCAAAGAACAATTTACAGCATTTCTTGTCCAATACAGATTGAATACTTTAGTTTTTATACACATCTTTAGTTAGTTATAGAGATATTGAAATAATAGAGATTAGAGAAGTGGGTAACAAATCTGTACAGTGAAGTTACTCCGTTGAATAACAGACATAAATCAAGTCATTAAAACAAACACATCAATATACAATGCTGCAGCCATCAAATAAAAGAATTCGTTTGTCGCCATGAAATTCATAAAGTAGACAGATATAAGTGAATGCCTATACATTGTGATAGTAGCGTCTCTTATGTTATGTCTTAGTGTTATGGCAAAACTGAAATCACGCACACACATACAAACCCACAACAACTTTTTTGTTTGTGTGAGTTCTAATTTTTTTGAAATAATGTACAAGTCTTGACATATAACAATGTCATCATCAGTAATAGAAACATAACAAAAAATGATTACAATGAGTTACAAGTTACAGCAATATGTTGTAATGAAATTATTAGAAAAAAAAAAATCAACACTACAAGCAAAAAAAGTGTTTAGATTTGAAAGACTGCACCTGAGACAGAGTCAGGTGCACTTAAAGACAGGCACACTTTGTCCAGGCACTCTGAAAGAGTTGCTTTCACCTCTGCCCGCCCCCACTGACTACCTACCATGCTGAAAATGATACAAGCTTATTTTACTTGAATGCGAATGCAAAAAATTCTTTTCCTCCAGATATCTGCTGACTGTTTAAAAAGCAGTGTATAGACCTGCTTTAAGAAACTGGCTGTCAGCGAGATACAGCCTGTTTAGAGCTCTAAAGTCAGCCAGATACAGCCTGTTAGGGCTCTAAAGTCAGCCATTTACAGCCTGTTAGGGCTCTTAAGACCTATCCTACCTTATAACTTATAGTATTAAAAAAAAGATTTAATTCAAATCCATAAATTGTATTGGGTCACTTCATTAAGACTATGGCTAAGATAGAGATGCAAGATTTTCCAAAATAAAAACATTTTACAATAAGGCTATAAATGTCATAACAGAAAGAGGACCTGACCTTGCATGTTTGGAACCATAAATTGAAGTGTGTGGATGTGGTTCACATGTGTCATCAAGTGCAAGTGGATTGCGCTGTTTGATATGGTTGGGAAATAAAATTAAGACTCAGCTCAAAAGTATGCAACACATTTTCTACACACAGGTCATAATGCAATGATCTCAGTTTGTCAACAGCAATCTTGTCTGACCAGCACCGGTCTTTACAAGGACAAGCTGACCATTAGCATATACAACTTTTTATCATATTGATTTCTTATCCTAAGCCAGAATGTTTGAAACGCAAATGTATTATCACTGTTTGAAACGCAAATGTATTATCACTATAGAACAATTATAAATCAAACTGGTCCAAACAAAGCGTAATCACCAAAATTGATGTAGGATTCAAACCCAGGCCCTTAAATAATAGTCTTGAGTTGTTCCAAGAACAAGTACTTGTTTTATTACCATAGATTAACTAGAATTGAACCAGGACGCACAAAAATGCCAGTACAAGGTAGAACAAACTTTTCCCAGCCCCCCAGCATTGTTTCATTCAAATGCTCAACAGAACTTTTTTTTTTTAATTTACACTCTTGAAATAGTCTACAAGTTTGAATGTCTACCATTCACTAAAAACGTTTCGGCCTTGGGGACAATGCTCTTATCAAACCACCAACAAACAAAAATGTAACGTATAGATGGACTTTTGTAAGAACAAAGGGAGATAAATATTTCTAAAAAATATTACCTTGAAGCCATGTAAAAATATACCACATTATTGTACATTTTCTTTTTTTTTACTTTTCAACAGATTAGTCCATTAAGAGTCACAATCTTCTATTGCACTGTCTCTGTCTTAGGTTTGACTGACCAATTTTATGGTAGATATAAGTATAATCCTGGACATGATAAGCAGAACTGACCTAGATGGACAGAACCAAAAAAACAAAATGGGTGCTGCTGTTTTTTTTCATTCCTCTTTTGCATCTCTTCTGGTCTGTGAGAAACTGATGGCTATCCACAGATTAGTAATGAGTGTCAATAACTTTTAAGTGGCAAGATATGGCCTGCCTCACTCCATGTCTCAAAGGTTTCCTCAGAGTAGTCATCATGCTGGACAGGTCAGAAAATGTCACTGAACATCTCCATGGAGAGGGTCAAGTGAAGACTTCTAGATATGCTGACCTGAAGACATATAGATATGCTGACCTGTTTGCTATGATAACAATAAAAGTTTGATGTTGTTTTCCTTTGTAAGATATTTCACACACACACACACAATGTAAGTGGAAAGAGTGACCAGACAACACCATCCTAAACTGTCCAGAGGTTAACAAATGGACATGCACTCTGGCTGGTCTGGCTGGTCTTGGTGCTGCTCAATTTTGGTGTTGTGGTCATTTTCACACTTGGCCAGTTTGTTTTTCTCCGCATTGAGATCCAGGACTTCCTTCATCAAGGGCTGAATGCCTTCTGGGTTAATCTTCAGCAGCACCTGAGAGTGTTCCTCATTCAGGTTGCGAATGTCCACCAGCTTCATAAGTAGCTTAGGGTACATCCATCTTATGACGTGGGGTGGATGCTTGGATTCTAAGTACCTCAGCAAAAGCAGAGCGTAGCGCTCTTGCTCCTCGGCCACATAATGCTTGTCAGTGATCTGCGGCCTGTCTGGGGAGTAGAGAGCGATCATCAGAAGAAGGATCAGAACAGTTTCGTCTGCTTGGAGGTCAATGGCGAGGCTCTTCACGAAGCGCATGTGCTCGTCAAACAGGCCAGACCCTTGACCCATTTTAAGCTGATCCGTCGTCATGGCGTACTTCTCTTTGTCGTAAGGGTCCAGAAACTGCATCTTGTCAACGTCAAATGTAATGACTGACCTAATTATCAGCAACTCAATGCTTCCACCTTTCAGCAGGCTGATCTGGTCGGCCTGAGACAGCGCCTTGAAGGACTTGATTTTCTTGGACATGTCAATGACCCTGCGCACGCTAATTTCAGCAATGTTGACCAGCTCTATCATGGAGGGGTGGTGCCGAGATACCTCAGACTCCACACAGATTTCTAGGCTCTGGCGGTAGGCACTGACAATTTCATTGATGGCTGATTCTTCCTCTGGCTCCAGGGGCCGCAATCGGGGGGCAGCAGATGATGAGATATCCATGCTCTGCATTTTACTCCTGTCCACATCACGAAATTTGCTGAAATAAGAAAATAAAAGACTTTGAATTTCATATCAATAGATAGAACGAAATATCAATTTAATCCTTTGTTTGGCTCGGTAAATGGGTTGCAATGAAAATATGTATTTATAATTAACATATATTTTTGCATTAATAATTTATATAAAATTAACTTTTTTTTTCTTCATCAACGCACAATTAAAATGTAGTATATACTATTACTATTACCGTTCATTGTAGTCTCTTATTTGTTTGAAGATGTTTCAACGTGTATATATAAACTTTTCACAAAGTTAGATAGGTAAAAACATGTGTGCATATATTTATCACAGAGTAGTTCTAAACAATCAAATAATAATATGAAATCTTTACAGCTCTTTCTTCTCAAAAGATCACTGTTCCTGCATATCTTTGGAACTGAACAAACAAATCTACTGGGCGTACAGTTTGTGCCCATTTCTTCACTCCCTTTTTTGTTTGTTGTTTGTTTGGAAACAAGTTTCTGAATGTGTTTAGCGTTTCCAAATGAAAATGGTGCATCAATCATTCAATGTAAAAGCAAATTGCATGAACAAATAAGAAAATGTTTCTCACCATTCGGTGGGGGTTTGCTTTCCTGTTGATCTTTGACTAAAGAAAAGGGAGAGAAGAAATATCATCAGAACATAATTTTCACTAGAACTCATCAAAATATACAAGTTTGCTGTTACCAGAATAATATATTAGACACACATGCAAACAATGATGAACTTAGAAAACAAGGAAGACTAAATGTAGGAAGTGAGATCTTTTATTGAATAGATCATTATATTAGAATAGTGTTGTATTTTTCTGACAACCATTATGTGTTGACAGGTTTCAATTGACGCTTACAAAGAGATTTATTTCTTTGCTTCATATGATATAGACAATAGAACTGAACTCTTTAAAATATGTACATTGGCAAAATTTTGAAAAAAGAAATAGACCTATTACACCCAAGCATTTTGTGCATAGTGGAAATTCTTTTTTTTTCTTTCCATAAAGGTATAAGAAGAAGGTTTACTAAATCCCAAACAAATATGAGAATTGATCCATGGAGAGTTTGATGTTGAGTCAACGTCCAAAACTCGACTTTATTTCCGTTTAAAAATATTGAAAATAGTGAGAGATTTGTTTTTGTGCAGGTCATGTGCAATAGAATGGTGAAGACCACCACATCTTTAGATTTGAAACATAAATAATACAGTAGACTGAGTAGAGAGAGTGTCAGAAGTCTGGAAATAGACTGAGTAGAGTGTCAGAAGTCTGGAAATAGACTGAGTAGAGTGTCAGAAGTCTGGAAATAGACTGAGTAGAGTGTCAGAAGTCTGGAAATAGACTGAGTAGAGTGTCAGAAGTCTGGAAATAGACTGGGTCTAAATAAAAGACGTCTGAAAACTAGCCACGCCTCCTCTGGAGAGTCAACAAAAAGCTTGAACAACAAAATGACTGTTGTGTCGTACACACAAAGTGAATAGTGAACTAACGCGTTTCACTAGACATCAGAACAAAATAATTTATCAAAATGACACATTTGATCAGCTAGAGTGAAGGCCCATATACTTCAGAGAAATTAGTTAAAAACTAAAATTATCTTTAGTACATTATCAGCGTGTTTATTGTACAGTTGGTTTCGTCTCTAGATCTAGTGGTATAAAATTAACTTGTTTCTAATGTAGGGATTTAAAAATGTAGGATGGCAGTTACTGGGAGGTAACTCTTGGGGTAAAAAGTAACAGAAATGATGGGGGGGGGGGGGGGGGGATGGAACTTAACACAGCAGCAGTGAAAAAAGAACATTTGTTAAAAAATTTCTCAGTCATTAACCTACATTTTTAACTTAAAAAATTATTTAATTTGATCAAAAATGCTGGACTTTTGATATTAATATCCTTTTATCACACAATTTCAATGTTTTTTCCTGTAGGCAGCACTAATCACTGTGCACTCTCCACTTACACAGATATATTAGCACAATTCATTTATTGAGTATTTTACCCATATGCTTAATTTTACAGTTTAAAAGATTTTAGATTTTTAAGAAAGTACTTCTTTATAAACCGTCTTTTACGTATAAATAATAACACTTACAAAAGATACACAACAAAAACTCAAAAACTAAGAATGTAACGTAAACATATATAGAAAAAACAACAACAAACAAACAAACAAACAAACAAACAAACAAACAACAACAAGCTATATCTGAAAATTAAAAACAAAACGAACCGATTTTCTTCAATTCTCTGCCGCTTCCTCATCTTTTCCTCGTCCGTCAAGATATATTCTTTGCGCATGCCAATTTCAAAGCACTTCCGTAATCTGCAACGTTTGCAGAATCGCCGGTTAGACACGTCCATTTTACATTTTTCCTCATAAGGACATTTGAAGTACTCCTGGAAATAAGAGAATAAGACAGATTAATGGTTGTTTTTGTGTCAAGATGACCTTCAGAAATGTCGTTGGAGTCTGAATATGTTGTAATGGTTACAATTAAGCTTTGAAGGTAAATAAGTAGATATTGTTTGATTAGATGATCGATCTATTTCTATTTCAAGCATTTTATTGTTAAGTTGAT